GACTGGCTCACGGATTGGCAGAAGATCGTGGCAACGCCCGATTTGGACTTGCCATTTCCGCATCTGCGGCGTGAGTTCTACAACAGGTCATGCGCCGCTCTCAGCCTCGCACTTGGTGATCGCGAGCAGTACAGCACTTTCGCAGAGATCATCAACAAGGCGAGAGAGCTCATCAAGACCAACAGGGCGGCTGCACACGAGAAGTCCACGTGGCAGCCAACCTATGTGGAGAAGGTAAGAACTGGTCCGCGACAGCAGCAGTTCGCTGCAGTCCAGTCGGACAGTGGAGATAACCCATCAGCCACTCCAGCATCAAGTGACGGAGATCAGGTGGCTGTTGTCCAGCCGCGAAGCAACAACAAGTCCCGCAACAATAGGAAGGCGAAATCCGCATCGCAGGCCGGGAATGGACAGCTAGTACAAGTTCCATGGGTCAACTTCGGCTTGACCGAGGCGGAGTACAAGGTCCGCGGCCGCTACGGCAGCTGTTATTGGTGCAACAGCACCAAGCACAAGACCTCCCTGTGCCAGGATCAGGGCAAGGAGGATGTGCGACCCCGCCTCAATTCGGGAAACTGAGTTCCACGGAAGGTGAGGCGAGTCCACCTTCTACTCCGCCAGATTCGGCCGCCTTGCTAGCGGCCTCCTGCACATCTGGGGAGGATGCGAATGTCGCAGGTTCTCCTTACACTTACGAGGACTATGCTGTCCACTTGGTTCCACCGCTGGACCAACCGCTCCACGTGCAACAATCTACCGCATGCACGGTTTCATCACCATCGGCAACCGATTCGGTAGCTTCGCCGCCATCTATTGTCGGGGATTCATCGTCGTGGTCAAGACGTGAGGTGCTCGACCCACTGACGTTCACGGACTTCCAGTGGATGCCCGTTCCCCCGACCGGACGATTGCCGAAACCGCATTGCAATGTGCTCATGGCACAACTGCGGGATTACTTGCACACTGCAGGACCAGCTCCGTTGATGGACGCTGGAGTAGAGGTTGTCGACCTTCACGCTTACATTGCGAAGATCGACCGCGAGTTCAAGATGCAACGGTACGACGACATTGACGCACCATTGCTATATGTACGCATTCAGATCGGAGAGGCGACCTACAACGCCTTGATCGATTGCGGAGCATCTCGCAACTACATCAGCCAGGACTTCATGGTGCGCGCCGGCCTTGGCCCACGCGTCCGGAGGAAGTCCCAGCCTACGCAAGTCACGTTGGCGGACGGTCACACGCACAAGTCAATCGACCGGTGCATTGACAACGTCCCAGTGTACTTTGCCCCGCACGCAAGTGAGGCGGTGTCCTTTGACATTCTGGACACCAAATTTAACATGATCTTGGGCATGTCATGGCTGCGAAGTGAGGATCACCCGGTGAACTTCTTCCACCGCACCGTTCACATTCGTGATCGGAACGGAGTACTAGTTCCATGCACGATGCCTCTTTCTCATCCTTCGATCAATTGCCACGTGGTATCCGCCGCAAGCGTGCGAGCTTCCATCATCAGAGACGACATCGAGGAGATGGGGGTATGTTTTCTCCACGCCCTCCTGCCACATGACGCTTCACTGACGGACTCACCTTCGGATCCACGCATCACCGAGCTTCTCGACACCTACAACGACGTGTTCGAAGGCCCGCACAGAGTAGTACCGGATCGACCCATCCGCCACGAGATCATCCTCGAGGACGGGGCCGTACCTCCGCGCGGTTGCATCTACCGAATGAGCGAGGAAGAGTTAAGTGTGCTTCGGGCACAACTCGACGACCTTCTGGAGAAAGGCTGGATTCGGCCTAGCTCATCGCCATACGTTGCTCCTGTTCTCTTCGTCCGGAAGAAGAACAAGGATTTGCGGTTGTGCATCGATTATCGCAAGCTCAACGCGCAGACGATCAGAAACGCCGGCCCTCTCCCACACATCGACGACCTTCTCGAGCGACTGGGCGGCGCCAAGTTCTTTTCCAAGCTCGATCTCAAGTCGGGATATCACCAACTCGAGATTCGCAAGGAGGATCGCTACAAGACCGCGTTTAAGACGCGATATGGGCATTTCGAATGGCTGGTC